GAAAGTCCAGTTTCCGATGGGAGCTGATAATCCTTCCAACTTACCAATCACGGTGGTCTGGTGTGCCTTTATTGCAGAGATTCCCTTCACTTTTCCAGTGGGCTTGTTTTCATCAGGGAGCCTGAGACAGGCACTCTCTGTTGTTCGCTTCTGGAGCTCAGGACAATGGCTTTTGTCCCCCTGTGCCTCTGTTGTGTGTAACCAAGTAGCTGCACAGCCAAAAGGCCAGAGGCCTGGGGGGGTGTATTGCTGGAGGCACCCTCGTGGCCAAGCCGTCAGCTGGTGGGCCTGCCCGGGGGGGGGGGGGTCCTCCTCACCCTGTCCTGGTGGCTGGTGGAAAGCTGGTGGAGCAAGCCGGAGAAAGCACGTCCCAGTCAGCCTGCAACCTCTCAGGGCCATCCATTTGAAATACCTAATGTGACCTTCTCCCTTCCTGCAGACTGATCCACTTTCTTGACCTTCCATATCTAGTTTTCTACAATATTTTTGAACTTACCATTACCAGAATTTTTTGAGTGCTAAGAAGTTAAGAAGCTTGAAGTTTCTAATTTAACATTTAAAAATAACTACAGCTGTATATATCTATACGCACCACTTTTTCTGAATTTAACTTTTGAAGGTTTGAACTGCAATAATTATATACAGTGAACAATGGTGACATTTGAGATAAAGTAAACCTAGAAATGTCGGTTACACTGTTGATAAAGAGAACTTATAATAAATATGCATCTATTCTGGTATGCACAAAGGAATGATAGTACTGAACAATCAAAGATGAATATTTTGTATAAAACCTTTCATAAGCACTGAAATTAATAAAGCCATTATAAGTTAAGGAGCAAGTGAGTGGGCAGAAGAGAAGGGGAAAAAAGTTTATTCTTACATTTCTTTTAAGATGCAAATAAGAACATTGCTTTAACATCATTACCTGCTTGATAAAACAGTGATCTTTTAACAGGTATTTATCTAGAAACCTGTTGCAATTCCTTAATTTAAAAAGAATCTTAAATTAAAAAAAAATCTATTTGCTAAATGGTAATAAAACAAATTTCCAGGGAGAAGACAGCAGGTACTAAACGTCATAGTATGGTTATATATGCTTGGAGATAATTCTTATTACTGTTTTCCAAATTTAAATGAAGAAGTAAAAAGTCCTCAGGAGCCAGGCAGACAGATTATATGCTATGACCAGCTGTAAACTGTGGCTGTGGAAGGAGATATAATAGTTCAAACTGGCTTCTTTTCAGACAATAGGAAACCACAGTTACTCATAAATTCAGGAGGAGTGCCCAGCCTCCATAAAATGATTTTAATCAATTAGCAAAATCTCAGACAGGCCAAATGAGTATATCTTTCAGGCCTTTAGTTTAGGAATCCAAGTCTAAAATGTCAAATGATAGACTCTGTACAAAAGAAGTCTTCAGAAAAGCAAATTGTGATGCTCAAAGGACAGACCTGATCATCCAGCAAACTTGGGTAAAAATACTGGCTTTGCCATCCCCTAGAAATGTGACTTTGGGCAAATAATGATCCTTCTCTATCTTGGTTACTTCATATGTAATAATGCAAGCACTGTCAGCAATTAACTTGTGGGTCTGTCAGAGTTAAAAGCGTACATAGGTCACCTGTTTGGTCAAGTGAGCTATAGCAAGATGTTCTTGTCAAATCTTCAAAGTAGCAAATAACAGATGATTTGATATTTTCTTATTATTGTCCAAGTCCATTTTTTTCTGAATTAATTATAGTTGAGCAACATTTTAACTTGGATTTTTGCATACTTTAGGAGATAGTTTTGATAGAAGATAATTTGAGGGAAGTGGGGATTTAGATTTTAGGTTTAGGTAAATCACTTGCTAGCTGTGTGGGCTTAGGAAAAGTCTAAGTTAGTGTCTAAATTAATGTCTCTGAATCTTTTTTATGTCTCTTATCTACTGTACTTTGTGTGCCTGCAAGAGGCTACAAGCTGCAGAGCAAGTTTCAAATTATGGAAAAGAGCCTGAAAGAAATTTTGAGTAATTCTTGACATCAACTTATATTCTTCTTTTTAAAATAAATATTTTATTTTTAATTATTAGTTTAATTGTACAAACTTGCAGGGCATCATGTGATGATTTGATACATGTATACAGTGTGCAATGATCAAATCAGGGCAGCTCACACATGTCTTTATACTTTTTAAAATTTTTTATACTTTTTTTTGAATAGTATGTAATAATTGTACATATTTATGGGATACAGAGTCATAAATCAAACCATAGTCTTCTTGAATCTCTTGTCAGTCTGTTCTTATAAAGAAGGACAAAAAGACCCAGTCTTTCTGTAATCCAGGTAGCCCTTCAATACAGACCATGCTGTAATCCTATCAAACATGCAGAAAATTCTTAGTGTGAGCTGAAAATTATACAGATCTTGTAAAATTTATGGTAAAATATGTCATTACCTATATCCCTGCCAAGCTTTTTGCATTCACTGATTAAAAAAGGTCCTAGGAAACTATCTAGAAAAGTTCTATTGGAATTTGAGATTCAAATGGAGATTAGTTATGGCTCCCAGAGTTCCAAAAGAACCAAACTACCAAGGTATCATATGACCCAGATACCTCAGTGCTGACTTAGCTGCAGCTCAAAATGATGCATGTGAGTGGTAGCTTTGAGAAAATGTAAATTTTGATGCCAAATTTATCAACCTAGCATTTTGTGTGAAAAAAAATTAGAATTGAGAATTGGAAATGCTGCAATGATTGTTTCTGGAATTCTTCTGTCCCAAACAATTTTAGTATGGAGCCCATTTTGATCAAGCATTACACAGAAGACATGCTCTTCTCACTTCACTGTGAAACAAGGTGGATTTTCATTATCAAGAATTTTATGCTTTGTCAGAGCCAAAGTGAAAACTTCCAGGCATTCAGCAGCTACAATTCAAAGTATTCCTTAATGGTCTCAGAGCCATGGGCTATATACAAGTTGATCTTGGCAAGCAAAACAAATTCAGGAGCGCTTTTCAGTAATAATGAAAATCTCCAGGACATGCCAACAAGGTGATCTAAACAAAAGCTTCCAACAATTAAGCAGATAGAGAGACAGATGTTTACATCAATGTGAGGCCATGTGAGCTCTTGGGTCTGTCAAGTCCAGTACGTCAGATTCCATAGCTATATATTCCAAAAGGAGTCAAGATTATATGAGGAAGTTGTACCTGTTATTTACCACTCTTTCCATGCAGTTATCTCAGAGAAGGCTAGAAGTTTGAAAACTACATTTTCCAGACTTCCTTGTCTGTTGGCTTTTGATTATCTTTTCTAAATGAGAGGTTCAGAATGGGAAATTAGGTGATGAAAGAAAAAAGAGAGTCACTTTTCTCCTGTATCTGGAGGTGCTTTCCGTGGGGACAACAACAACAAATGATTTCAGAAGCAAGAACCCTGGTGATGGCCACACCTCTAACAGATTCATGCAGTCTGTAGGGGCTCATGAGGCCACTTGACCTCTGGTTAACATCTCCTTCTTGCTACTCTTCTAGGGAGCTTTGTGTCCAAATCCCTCAATTCAATCTCCTATTTCTTGAAATATGTACAACAGTTTCTACTTTCTGTACTGAACACTGATAAATACAGAAGAAACAATCAAGTCAGAAAAATACTTTCCTCTAAACAAAATTATCAACCAAGGGAATAATTGGATACAAAGAAGAGTTGGCTGTATTCAATGTAGCACAAGATTAGGAGTCAAAAAGACATAGATTTAGTCCTAAATCCTCTCCAAAACAGGAATGTGCCAGCCTTCATGGAAGTTATAGAGTACAGAAAATGGTGCTGAATAGGTTAGAAAACAAGTAATCTCATTCTAATTAAGCCTTTTATTAGCCCCAGTATTGACAGTCTTCTCTTACCATTGGAGTCTAAATTTCTGCACCAGAGAATCGGCACAAAGAAAAGTATTCAAAAAAAAAAAAAATAGGACCTACAAGGTTAGCCAGTGGATACCAAATTTAAGCAATGAAGAGCCTTAAAGAGCATAACCATTAAATAAGAGTCCTAGAGATAATAAATGCCTATATCTCCTTTTTTTCCTTCATAATGACTCAAGAGAATGTTTGCCATTTATCCTATGCCTACCACGTTCAAGATACTAAGGATTTTACCTATGTTACTTATAAGTCTCAAAAAGGTTCTACTTTCAGATGTCAAAACTGAAACCTCAGAGAGATTAACAATTTATCCAAGGTCTTAAAGGTAGTGAGTGGAAAAGTGGAGACAAAAATGTGTATCATGCTATTTCCATAAATCACACTCTTCCAGCAACCCATGGTGCTGCTAGTTGAAATTATTGTGGCGACAGCACTTTGCAAGTTATATAGTGTCACACCCACATAGAAGATTGCTACTTTGGTTCCACAACCAGCACATTTCACATATTGAGGAAGACCACGACTTTGGAAATAGAAATGTGTCATCATCCTTCTGATAGTTTGTGACATCTCTAGCTTGAGGTCCCTTGTGATTCTGTGAGGCATAGGGGTTTTCAGGACAGGGTCAGTTCCAGCTCATATTCACTGTGCTCTTGATCTGATCAAATGACTTAAAAGAATAATCACCGTTTTATCAGTCAAGCAATAAAGCTGAGTATTATTCTCATTTACATTTCTAAAGCAACATAAAAATATCCCCTTTTAAAAGGTACCCACTCACTTTCTCCTTATATGCTAATACATGTCACAGTTTCAGAGCTTGAAAGATTTCCTGCAAAACCTTTCACTGCCTTAAAGTCACACCTGCTCACAATTCCAATTGCCAAGTTACAAACATGAATTAATGCTGGTTCCAGATCAATCCCATATTGATAAGTCTTTAAGGTGTCCAACTTGAATGAACTGATTTCAAGTTCCATGAATTATTTCAAGGCTTTAGAATGTTTAGTATTAAAAATTCCAACTTCATCCACAGACTTCTGTGAATCATAATATGTATTGTCACCAGTATTCATAATCAAGTCAAAAATTAACTCCCCTGTTTAAAAAATGGGTGTCTCTGTGCTAAGTCTGGGTAATATCAATAAAATTTTGTTGTCATATTGACAACTAATTAATGTATCAATTTGAAGTAATGAATGGCAATTTAACATCATGACAGAATTAAGGTAATTAATTCAAAGCTACTTACTTTGTTATGTTTTATTGATGTTGATATATATAATATATATATTTATATATATTATAATATATATAAATATATACAGGCACTTGCTTTTATATTAAGATTATGTTTTTAATTTTTAAGTTATCCAAATTTGTTATTCAGATTTTCTATTGCATACAAAATTTATGATTTTAATCCTCTGTTCAGAAGTACTTAGTGACTCCTCATGCAAACAAGCTTTACTAAAGGGAGATTAAAGAAAATTATCCTAGTGAGGACACAGTTCCTTCCTGCTTTCTTCCTTCCTTCCATCTCACTTTCCTTTTTTCCTTTCCTCCCTTCCTTCCTTCTTTCCTTCCTTCCTTCCTTCCATTCTTTCTTCCAACAGCTTACAAAAATGAAAAAATACAAGATTTTATCAAGAAAGCAAATTAAACAAGGCATAGAGAACAAAAGAGGGAAATAAAATGAAAAGGGATGTTATAGCCACAGTACCCACCTAGAGATCAGCTATCCTTGCTAGTAGCAACTATAAATTTGGCTTTCAGTTTCCTGCCACCCTAGCAAAGGAAGGAACATACTATTATTTATAGGATTCATAGTTCTTATAAGATGCTTTCTGGTTGCTAATGAGAAACATTAATAAGGAAGCACATAATTATTTTGTAGAGAAGAAACAGAATCTTAAATGAGGATGTTCTTACTGAAGAAAGAGAAAACCCCAGAAACTCCAGGGACAGCAAAGTAGGAAACTGTAAAGAACCCAGCAGGAAAGGAGTTGAGTCAAGGCTGAAAAAAGCTGCAAAGAAAAAGAATCAAAATAGAAAATAAGACTTTCTTTCCTCAAAGTCTGGTGTCACTATCTGTGGTAGAGAAGCTTCTAAGTATAAAGTTGTACATATATATGGGTGTTCCTTCACCTATTTATCTCCTGCGTGAAAGCTGTACTTTCTGGAATTAGAAACTGATAGAAAATATTCTTAGAAGGCAGAAATTTTGAAGTGCAATAAACAGCAGGAAGTAAAGGACAGGACAGAGCCTGGGCTGCTTTCAGGGATCTTACTGGAGCTGAGGAAAACCACGTCAGTGAAAGATCTTGTAGTGAAATAAAACAGAAATGTGAGCTAACTCTGAGGTCAGAGGGGTAGTTTAGGGTGACAATAACATCCTTGTGGGTTTACGGATAGGATAGGCTTGGGGTGGGGAAGCTCATTTCCCAAATGCAAGAGGATAAAACGTTCTGCAAAGAGTAGTTGCTGCAGAATCAACAAAGCCACTCTTTCCATTTTCCTTTCATCAGTCCTTCTAAAAGAACAGCTGTCTCCTCCAGAGCCCCAAGAAGGAGCAAAGAGACCAAATAAATAAATCAGGTGTCAGGTTATCTAGAAAAAGCTGGCTGCTAACTGGTAAGCTTGTGAGACACTATTTATCAAGGGACAGCACTTGTCTTTCCAGCTAGGACCTGATTCACTGCACCGTTTCATCATGAGTCAACCCATCCTACACCCACTGCTCTCTCTGCAGTACAGCCCTAAAGAGGAAAATGCTTGCAATGTGTATCTTATTTCTAAAACCAAGACCTAGCATTCCTTTTCTTTACTCTTACCTTATAGTTCACACAGAACATAGCTGACTGTATATCTTACTATTAGTGTTCTTCTGCCATAGTATTCATCTCTATTTACATGCTTGTTTTCTAGTGGGACTGTGAGAGCCTAAGGAACAAGAATTATCTTACTCATTCTGACACATAGTTTAGGAATGTAATTAATGCATGAAATACAGAAATGTAATGACTGCATCTTCCTAAGGTTGGCAATTTTCCCACTTACTGACTCTCCCAGAAATACCAAAGTACTTTTTTCCAAACATGGTCTTACAGCATTTTTCACCTTAATTCTTTGAGCCTGTTCATGGTAACTTCCCCCAAGTAAGCTTTAATTATGTTAGTGTTATTTAGTTTAATTATGTTATGTTAGTGTTAGTTTCTGATATTTCTAGCCAAGAATACTGACACATACAGAACAGTAAGGATCAGACTGGATTAGCAAACTCAATTAAAAGAAGACACAAACAAAAAATGAAATGGTCAGTATGGCTGACAAAATACTTAAATGTAAGATTTTTTTATCCCTAAATGTCAACTAGGACTTCTCTGTCCCTTAATATCTGGCAAAAAATGGAACCCTTCTGTTATACAGTCTATGGAAGAGTGAGACCTTCACTCGGATTTCTGAAATTTCTCCACGATCTTTGTACTCTCCCACCACAGTGTTCCTATAGGGCATCCATTCACAAATAAGCATTCTGTCTTGTAAACCACATTTCTCTCCCCAGACAATGATTTCAGCTCAGTCACCTCTCTAATTTTTATACAGAGGCACACACACATACACATGTAAATGCACATACATATTGACAAAAATACTTATAGTATAACAGAAGGCAGAATAGATATATGACCTTGAGCAGGTTATTCACTCTTTGTGTCTTAGCTGCCACACATTGTTACATGGAGGACAATAATGGTACAGAATTATTTTAAAAATTGAGTGGGCTAATACAAGGTAAGTTTGTAGCTCATGATGACTTTGTACATATAATATAACAAACATTCAATACTCAATTTATAGCCATGCTAGAACATTTTCCTGAAAGGCTGAGTTCTGGGGAGATCAGCATGCATACATATATCTGTTTTGTTGCATTTTGTTTTGTTTTGTTTTGTTTTCTGCCCTAAGTGCTCTCAAAGCTCCATATAGCTGCTGTGCTCTTGGTTGTTTTGTCCTTGCTAAGCAGAGACCAGACGGTCCTTCTGGCTGTCCTGGAAATTTCTTCCTCCTCTGTTCATTCATTTTTCTCTATCTTCAGAGGAAGTAAACTTATTCTTTTGTGCCTGGGATACAGCCCCTCCAACTCTCACCCTATTATGTAGGCATTTGACCAAATAAAAACATCCCCTCACCAAAGAAGAGCTTCTGCTTCCTCCTATCAAAATGATAAAATGTATTCTATCTAGTTTCACCTAGAACATCAGTTTCAATACCCTAGTCATTTGCACAGTACTACTATGGGTTTTTCTCCTCACATTCATTTATTAATAAATATTTTTAAATTATGTATTTTTCTTTAAATTTACTCTTAAATGTTAAATACATTTGTATAAAAAGGAATTTCATTTCAGGGCTCTAAATGAAAAAATTGAATTAATCTCCATGATAAGAAGATAACCTTGGATTAAAGTTTTAATTTTGAAATTAAAAAGTCCTGAATTCATTATTCATTACTAATGATACATGCATCACAATTTGGTGAATGTGAGTCAAGACCTCCTTTATTCTAGACACTGAGAGGCAGTGTTGAAGAGGAAATGAGTGGACGGTCGGTGACATTTGCCTGTTACTAATATTGTGGGGTAGAGGGTGGAGAAGTGAGGATGAACATATGCTGATAGGATCTGGTTAGAAAACTGACAAGAGGGTGATCCAGAGACTAGGTTGTAGGGTGTGGTAGCATCTTGTATTCAGCACTATTGTTCCACAGTACTCCGGAGAATAGCTAATGTTTATGTAATTGAATTGTATTCTGTCATCAGGTTCTAATGCTTCTAAAAATAAATATTTAAAAGCTAGTAATGTAAGGGATTATAATATCAGAATTATCCTTCCAAAAAGTGCATTGTAACCAACTGAACTAGTTTGATACAGTGGAATTTAAAATAATTTTATAAGAGATCACTGTTGACATTGATCATTCTGGCCTTTTAATTAACAAGAATAAAATTGAGATTCTCTGGGTTCCACTATACTTTCCCTATGCAAATAGTTCAACAAGCTTTGAAAGCAAAATTATACACATACCACTGGCTTGAAAATCTGTGTTAAAGTACTAAGAATTTGCATCAAGTTAGTGCACTTAGTAAGTAACAAAATTCACAATGTTTTCTACTGATGGTGCAAACAATTGTGTTGTTAAATATATAGTCTTTTTTTAGATGAGCGTGTACCAGAACACAAGGAATATATACATTCAATGGCTAGCTGATCGACAAATGCCAGTGATTATGCATGCATCATGAGACACATTCTGCCCCAAGGTGTTCCCTGGCAGGATGATAGTGCAATTCAAATCATATTACACTAGAGTTTCTGTCAAAATTCTTGACAGATCCCATTTGTCACAGCTTTCTACTATCTCAAACACAGAGCCACAGTCCCTTGATTTATACCTCAAACAAATTTTCCACAGGTCTCAAGTGAAAGACAAATGGTCCTGCAATTGCATACGAGGATTTGGTTATTTGTTTTTGTTTTGGTGGTGGTGGTGTTGGAAGGATGAACCCAACGCCTTAGCATAGGCTTTATCCCCAGACCTTTTTAAAAAATTTTGAGACAGGGTGTCCTAAGTTATTAAGTTGCCCAGGGTGGACTCAAACTTGAAAGCCTCCTGCTTCAGCCTCAGATCTCTGGAATTACAGGTGTGCACTACCCTACCTGCTCACAAGGAATATATTTTTTAGGGTGTCTTTCAGCTACTGGTATCTATGAATAATCCCAGCTTCAAATGCTAGAAAAGACATACCACTTATTCTTTATTGAATATAATTTTTTACACTAAAAAATAAAATGGAGCAAGCCTTTAAGAAAAACTTCCCTAAAACTCAACTGATTATTTTATCTCCAAGTTTTGCAGGAAATTACAGGAAAATAAAACAAAAACCACTTGGTTTTATAAAACTATATCATACAAACCATCTCATGTCACATAACCATGTCATATAATCTGATGCCTTGGCTGAAGAAAAGAAGGGAACACACTAGAAGATGATGGAAGGAGCTACTCAAATTTATATCTAAAGTGTAGAAGTACAGATAGATATTCTTAAGCCATTTTATCCCATTTAAATGCATCTTATTGCAGAAATGAATATCTATTTTTGAAAGGCATCTCCATAATGCTGCTTTTAGTAGAGGCAGCTGGGAACATTTACAGCCATATTGCACGTATCATTTAAACTGAAATGATAAAATGTTAACAAAACAGTACCACACGGGTGAAACAGTGTGGTTTATTTGAAACACCAAAGAAAATCTACATCCATTAACTCTAACTCTGCTACAACAGATTCTTCAGAAGCTATCCAGTAGAAATGTCAACAATTTACAGCCCAATATATACAGAAATTTAACACACCTCACATTAGCGTCAAGTTTGTCCATTACAGGAAACAGGCATAGATGAGCTGGATTTCAGTGCCCACAGAGTCCTACAATGGAGGAATAAAAAGAAGTTAGACAAGAGAGTAACTTGGGAAAATAAAAGTATTTATCAAAGGAAAAATATCAAATAATCATTGCTTCCTGTTTATTAAGACTTACAGTTTTTAAAATATTTACTAAACAGTATTATAGCAAAAAGCTACTGGCATATTGACGTATGGTAAAGCTAAGTGTTGCAAAAAGTTTCTATATATTCTAATGATCTCCTGGTGATTAAAATTTATAGGCATTTCTTTGTACTCTGTTAATCCATTTATTTGTTATTGTTTGCTCTTCCCAGAAGCATAACTAATTTTTATGTTGCACATGACACTAGAAAGTGAAAATAAGTAACTATATTCTTATGATTAAAATAGTATATTGCCTAAAGTGATTAGCTAATTTGTTGCCTATGAGGATTTTTAGATTTCCTTAAAAAAATATGTGATGGGTAATCATAGTTCTTCTTGAGAATCTATTCTCTTAAGAACTCTCTGCCATGAAAAAAAAATGCATGTACATAGATACATACTGTCTTGAACCCAGGAATCCAGAAACACCAGACTGATCCAGAAATCCCAAACTAATAAATCATATTCAAAGGATGGTTAACTTTCAAGTTAATGAAAGCTCCTCTAGCACAGATCCACCAGCACACACGACTTATTGGAAAAAGGTTCACTGATCTCAACAAAATTGACTCGCATAACTCCACAGTTTCATTTTTGCAGAAGAATATCTAAATTTTTCATCATATTTATTCTACAACATGGCAAATCAAAGAGCACAGGGTCAGATCCCAGCTGTCTTTTCCAGAATTCACCTGAACAAGCCCCTTTTCCTTCTGAGAAACATTCGCATTTCAGTGAATGTTAGAGACTAGAAGAGATCATCTTTGAGCGCACATCCAGCTCTGATATTAGATAATTTTCCCTGCTGGTTTGCTAATCAAATCTTACTAAGAAGAACTTTTAAATCTGTTTATCCAAATAACAAAACCATGAAACTCAGCCCGGGTCCTTAGTTCCTGTCCCTGGGAGAACCAAACACAAGAGGCCAGCAGCCAGGAACAGATTGGCCAACCACCAGAGCTGGAAAGGACATAGGAGATGCTTCATCTATTTCAGTGTTTGTTTTTTAGAGACTCTAAGCCTCATGTGTGCTTCTGTGGGCATTTCCAGAATTACTGCAAATGAAGGCTCAGCCTGCTGGACTCTGAGTCCCTTTCCTTGACTCCAAGAAAAGTAGCTCTGTCCAGGTCTATCTATCTTACTTTTTGAGTTCACAATGACATTTTTCTTGAAACAGACCAGTAAAAAGCCTTGAAGTTAAGTGACAAGGCTCAAATGTCTTTTCTCCTCTCTATAAAATCGTTTCTGAGGTAATTACATTTATTCGAGTGGCTTAAATATATCTTATTCACTGAAGACTCCCAAGGTTGTGTCTCTTGCCTGGGCCTTTCTTAGACTTTAGTTGCCCACCTGACATTTCAAGTTGAATGACTAAACACATTTCAAGTTGAACTCTTCCTTCCCCACCCCCAAGGCAGACCTGCTCCTCCATCTCAGTCAGTGCCCACCATTCACCCAGCTACTCCAACTTCTGTTCCTCACACTCTATAGCCCAACCAAAAGCAAATTCATTCTCTTTTGCTTGAAAATGATTCTTTAATCCTCATGTTCTAATTCCTGTCAAAACTGGTCCATCTTGGCCTGAGCCCCATCTTCTTTCCCTGGAATACTGGCATGTCCCCCTCACAGGTCTCCCGCTTGCCTACTATCAGGTCTTCCCCCAGTAGCTAGAGTTCTAGTGCATCAATTCTAGAGGCTTCTTGTCACACTTAGAGTAAAACCCCAACTCCTTATCACAGCCAACCAGGCCGCCCTGATGCAGCCTCTCCAAACTCAATTTCAACTGTGCCCCGTCCTTCTCTTCTGTCCTCGTGTTCCTTGACCAGCACAATGGACTCTCACCTCAGGCCTTTTTGTTCACCTCTTCTCCTTAGAATTGAAGATACTTCTCACTTCCTCAGGGATGATACTCAAACACCATTTTCTCGGAAAGCTTTCATCTCACCCTTAACTACAATCCCAGACCCTGCTTTCTAAATATTTCTATCCTCTTTGCCCTCCTTTTTTAAAAAATCTGAGCACATACACTGTGTACTCAGTTTCTTTTTTTTTTCACCTGTGACTTGCTTTCCTCACTAAAATACACAGTTTGAGGGGCTATAGGACACTGTCTTGATCACTGTCATATCCTCAGGTTTGAGAATAATATTTAGTATATTATATCCTCTTCATAGATATTTGTGAGTCAAGAAGTGTTCTTTTTCAAATGAGGAAGCTGAGGCTTAGGATTTGTGACTTTCTCATCGGGAGGTAACATATACCATCCCAGAGTGGAATACTTTAACTTTTAAAAATAGCCAAAACTACATTATTTTAACTAGTTGCCCTTTACTAAGTGGTAGAAGTGCCAGAGATTGTCTTTTTCCTCCTCCTCAAATCTCTAAGACTTTAGCTCCATTCTGCAGATGAGGAGATAAGACTGGAGAAACTGACTGATGTTCCAAAGACACACAGCTAACATTTGATCAACCTAGGAACAGACTCATGGCTGTGAATTCCAAAGCCCAAGCTTTATTTTGCATAATCCTTCTCATATCACACTTCCTCTCCCTGCAGCAAAGGAAGACTCTGATAAAAATGGACTTTTGCTATAACTCCGCCTGAATATTTCTCTCTTCCTCTGGGAATACTGTCTTGACTTTCCTTTGTGCAACCACCTTCGCCCCATCCCTAGTGCCAATAATGATCACATCACCAAGGCTGGCCAATCAAAATAGTCTGCTCCTGGTTATAGGCTCCATCAGCTCTTTGGCCAGACCTGTGAAAAACAGCCCTGGATTTCTAGAAAGAGTCTCTCTTTTCTCCAGCGATATGAAACAATGTGAAAGTGCTGGTGGTAATCACTGTCAGTTCAAGGGAATGCTCATCTGTGAATGACATTAACCCAAAGTAAAGCAGAGCAGCAATACAGAGAATGACAATGTCCTGATTAAATAATTGGAGGCTTAAGATCCAGGCAGTTTTGTACCCAACATTTCCAATTATATAAACCAACAAATTCCTTTTTCCCCTTCTTAAGTAAGGTTGAGTTGCATTCCGGCCATTATTTGCAAAGAATCCCAAGTATATAAATGAAAATCAATATATTAATTGGGATACAAATTAGAAGAAGCAAAACCAATTAAAATTAAAGTTCATCTCATTGAAACCGCATTTGAAAATGTTACAACACAAGGAAAACCTTACATATTTTTAGTAATATACATTGCTACAGTTTCCTTATTGAAATTTAAAATTATTGTCATTTAATAAACCAGCAAGGCAGCATTCTTGTACATTCTGTCAGAGGGAAAAGAAAGTAACAACATAGGAGTTGGTGATTAGTACCTATCTTGATTTGATTAATCAATTACAGTCCTCTATTTTCTGTGGCATTCGCCAGGGAGAACTAATCAAAGCTGTGATTACAGTGGCAACTCTCATAAAGAAGATTGCACAAGGTGATAAGGAATGGAAGGAACCAATGCCTTCATCTAGTACACTTATATTTCTGGGTGCTTAACAAACTTTACAAGCTTTCATGAACAATCTAATTAATTAAAAGCACAAACAACCCAGAGCATCTTCTGTTCTCAGGTACAAGTTGTATCCTGTCTAAAAGTTGTGCCAATTTGAAATCCAACAAGACCTTCTGTGTTGAGTGTGTGTGTGTGTGTGTGTGTGTGAGAGTGTGTTAATGACAGTCATGCTGGACCCTATCATCTCTTCTAAGGAATAAGTTACTATGCCCTCCACACTAGCCTCCTTCAAATGAATAGTTCTAGATCAGGATAAACCAAAACAAGAGTCCAGTAAGTCCTCAAGAAGGGTTGAATGAGGGAATCAAAGACCCTCTCTATCAGGTGAGAAACAAATGAATGTCTCAATATTCTCTTAAGATCATGACAAGCTCAAGCCACCAGAATTACCCAAAACACTGCCCCAAAAAAGTAGACCACAGGAACATACAACTGTGTTAGATTTCTTTGCGCTTCTTTTCCTTGATGGATATAATCAGACTGTGGTCTTTCCTTAATAGAGTCAAGAGAAGAAAGAAAAAAATCATCTCACTTATGCCACCCAATACTAACTTGAGCCCTCAGTTTTCTGGTTTATAAATTTTAAGCAACTAAAGTGCACTCCATCATTACCCTTGTTTTGTGACTCAGAATAGTCTGAAATATTGCCATGGAACAGTCGTTAATGGTTAACAGAAGGTGTGTAGTTGCATCTCTATTATAAGAAGCATGCGCACAAGGCTCAGCTGTAAATAGTCCCCACCTACTGGAATGAAAGATCGATGTAACTTGGTACAGTGCCAACATCTGCCAACCTGGAACTATGTCGTAACCTCAGCTTGCTTGCTTTGCTGCACTTCGCTTTTTTTTTTCAGCTTTAGTTGCATAGATGGATATTCATAATGCATAACTGCCTGGATTGACCATCTTTCTTTATAGAATATGCCTACAGGGATGAAATTTCTACATCAAAGGGCACGGTCCCAGTACCTTTGCTTTGGGAAACTGTCAAGAATAAGTAAAACATTCTTTATCTTAATAGCCAAAGCAAGGGTGGGAGCCTGGCATAATGGAAGGAGTTCTAGGCAAAGGAGTCACAGGGTCTCAGTTCTCAATCTGATCCTGGTACTGATCCTGGTAATTCATATACTGTCTCAGATTCCATCTACCTAATAAGTATAAGACTAAAAGCAGATATTTGATAAGCATAAACTGTTCCCTATTCTGTTGCTGGCTTCAGCATCTCACCACTCTAATCTATTGTCAATATATGTACTCAAACACACAATCCCACCAGGATCACACAAGCAAGCAACCCAAAGACAAAGTTATAAATATCATGATAATTGTGATTTCCCAATAGCTCAAGCTCTCTTGACCCTCATTGTGGGAAAAAAAATTGAATCATCTGAAAAACTCCAACTTGCAAATTCCCACTAAATGGAATAAAAATTCCTCTCCCTTCTCCCTATTTATTTGAACTTTGTTGACTGAAAAATATTCAAATTTGTAAGATACTATCTTGGTAACTTCTTTTTAACCTCAATAAGTTGATAATACTCCTTAAAATAATTTCTTTCTGTAAATGAATGCCCTCAAATCTATATTATATATATATAAATATTAATAACCAACTTAACAGAAAAATAGCTTACATTCCAAAAGCTGGAACTTTTTAGAGCTAGTAGTCAAAATGCCACTTGAGCTAAGTCATCTTGAAAGATATAGTCCTAAATAAAAAGCTGGCCATTCCATTTCCATAACTGTAAATCCACACAGAAGCCAATTTGGTTACACTTGAGGCACCACTATGCTGATACACATAATTGGGATCCAAAATGCCTTTTAAATTGTCTCAAAATAACTAAAGAAACTATTCTTCCTAGGTAAATAAACATTTCTGGGCTGGGAAGGTGCATGTCTTTATCATAAAACTGATATTTAAAACACTCTAAAATCGATGAAAGAATATTTAACCATCATGTGCTATCCACCTCTTGCAGAAAAGAACAGATCACAGGAAAAAAAATTTTTAAACATGAACTTCTATTTCATATATTATTGAATAAAATAAAGCTAGACTGTTTCTAGAAATCAGATTTGCTTAAAAGGCAAAGGTTTTCTTTTTCTCCCAAAGAATGTGATGAAGGCAGTAAGGTTATAAGAAACCAGATCCAATAAATATGGATTTGGGAATTTCATGAAGAAAAAGAGAAGATTCAGAGGCATTTATTTATGAACTTTTATGATAGCTTTATTAATGTCTCATTCTATTTGACTAAAGAGTCTATGAGAAAAGAGATATAATACATGATCGGCAAGTATTTAATATGATAAACTTGGCATGACATGATATGAAAGTTCTACTTGCTGGTTAGACAAAGAATTAGCCCTTCCTTTGTGGCCCAGAGGAGAGATAGGTAGAAGTCTCCAGAGAAGTTTGAAACTCACCAAGAGGTAGATTATTCCAATCATTGGAGCTGTCCAACCACTGACCTGTGTGCCTTGGCAAGAATTCACCTTAGTGGAGGCTCAAATGGAGGCCAGAAAGCCAACAGTCAGTCAGTTTGAGAGGAGGAAACAACTCTTAGATGATTCTGAATTCTGATGAAATCCAGGAATGCAATGAGACAGAACTAAATAAAAGGCTGTTTATTGTAGAGCAGTGGTTCTGAAGTTTAAGCATGCATAAGAATCATCTGAAGGGTCGTTAAAACAAAAATGCTGGACTCCACCCCAGAGTTTCTGATTTATTAAGTTTAGAGCAACAAAGCTGTGCTTCTCACAAGTTCATAGATAATGCTGATGCTGTCAGTCTATTCTTTGAGAATCAAGCTGGTAAAATATCAACTCCCAAAGCATGGTTGTATTACCAGTGGAGAAAGAAGACAATAAAAGCTAATATGTGGTGTAGCATTAAATACTACTAAATCAAATGGTGAAAAGTGTGTTCTCTTTTTTCAATGTTTTTGTCCTTTATGTTGATGAAAATGATTTATATTGATAAAAATAGGGGTTAATTTACTTTTGAAAACTTTCCTGTTACTTTCTAATCACTCCTTTATAGTAAGGAAGAGCAGGTCTAAGGTTCATAGCCTTTGGTAAGAGTGTCTATTGTCTTAATTGGGTCCCCCCTAAGAGGCAGATCTTGAAGTGTGAACTAAATCTATATAGTTAATTTGGCAGGTGAAGGTACACTAGAAGAGAAATGATGACCCAAGAGAAGGAATGAGAGGCAACGCATGAGAAACATGTTATTCAGCCACAACAGCTGAAACCCACAGGATGTTCTTTGATACAAGGTAAAACATATGCATCAGAATTATTCCAAATTTGTGGGAGGTGTTGACACTCCTACATCTGTAACTTATTGGTTAGGGATGTTCACAGGGGAGCATGGATTCCCAGGCACCTCCATCCCATTACGACTGTGCACAAGGGAATTCCAATAGATTAAGGGTACTTCCAACAAGCAATGCAGGTTTATCTTTGGAAGTCAACTCAGGACTACTGCCATACCACCCTGAGCCCAATCTCATCTGGAAGTCAACTCAGTTTGTATAAAAATGGTGAGGGAATCTGTAGGAAAATGAGAGGAACACAAACATTGTCACTTCTAACTGCTTAGCTGAAATCTAATAGATTATTTTGTGTGTACTCTATTTGATTTTATAGTTGTCTTCTATTTCTTGCAATTGATCCTGGTTTCAACTTTTCCATTTTTATTTCTTTGCAAAATACATTTATTTAAGGAAAGTTAATTAATCTAAAGAAAAAATGATATGCAGATAATGTTCCAGATGGTATGAGAAGGTGGCAAGAATCACGAAGGGACAGTACTCAAAAGACTGAAATTTGGGGAACATTGGCACAGTAACAACGTGGAAGTCAGCACGTTTTGTTTATCTGTAAAGGGTTATTTAGAAAATATTTTTCATTTCTTTTCAGATCATAAGGTTATTGTTACAATTACTTAATTCTGTTACTATAATGTAAAAACAGCTGTAGACAATACATTAGTAAATGGGCATAGCTGGGTTCAAAAAATCTGTATTTATGGACAATGAAATCTGAATTTCATGTAATTTTTACTTGTCACAAAATGTTCTGATTTTGATATTTTTCCAACAATTTAAAAATTGTTCTCAGCTTGCATTCTACACAAAAACAGGAAGTGAACTAGATAGTTTCCAGACCAAAGCATAGCTTATAATCTGTCCCAGTTCTATCATCACTAATAGGACACTGGAAAAATTACTTAACTTTTCTTAGCCTCACCTACCTAATGTGGATAAACATAAGATCAAGATCAAATTTACAATACTGATGAAAAAAACTGAAAATGCATACTGTGAGTTAATTAGTCAGCTGTTTTGACAAGTTGGCCCCCTGCATGATACGGTCCCAATCACTGGAGGACATTTCATACTTTGCTCCTCAGCAAAGGCACCTATGCAGGCTAGGAACCCATCTTCCCTATTTTGGAATGTGTTTGCAGAAATCTTTCTTCTCAAAAGGGCAGGACCTTAAGGCCATGTCTGAGAATGCCTGATGTCACCGCTGATTTTAGAGTCCCAGAATTGACAGCGGGTCAAACCACATTTGCATTCCATCCAAATTAAGTCATTACAATAGTGTTTTGAACCTTGTGGAGTCATGCACCTGAGAGCAGTGGTTCTCAAACATTAGTATACTTAAAAATCTCTTGCAAAACTGCATATGCCATAGGTCTAAGAATCTACATTTTAAGAACATCCTAGTGACACTGCTTCCAAGGATTCATGTTGGCAGGGGCATGGGAGAGTTCAGGAAAGGCAGCAAGGATGGAGTGCAATACACCCAGGTGAGCACACTTTTCTGAAATCCTCTTTAGCAGTTTTTCCACATCTGTTTAAATACCTCATTGACTAAGAAGGATTTCAGTATTCGTTGTGTATGCCAAGAGAAAAGGCTCTGTAGCATGCTTACCTCTTCTGAACCTCCTAGGTTAGAAAACAGTTTATACGGGATTCTCTACTTCAAGTATCATGTGCTGATTATCATATCCAATTAAATGTTCCAGTTCAGTCTCAAAGGACATTGGCTATTTACAGCTTTTAAGATGAAAATTATTGAGCAGAATCCACATCTTTCTCAGACTTACAAAATATCACCTTCCAAAAGCTCCTATCCATAATCTCCCCAACAGTTGCTGAAAACACCTGGAAAGAAAAAGATGAAACGATACTCATAGATTTTAGAGGAGCCCACTTAACACAGAAGAAAAGGCTCCTGGGAAAGAAGCGAGAGGAATGTAATGCCATATTTTTACAATGTGAACCCTTCACGTGTATTACTTCATGTTGTCTTCACATGCTATGAGAAAGCACTGCAGTCAGCCCTATTTCAAAGATAGAGAAACTGAGGCACAGAAAAGAGGCATTTGTCAAGGCCATACCAGGTAGTGGCTTTTGATCGCAGATATTCATCCACTAAGCTATCCCACAGAGACTCCAGATCTCAGTAATCCCCTGTCTCACCTCTCCGCTTAATTTTATAAACTAGTATTTATGTAGCCCCCTCAAAACCTCTATGTTCTCCAATTTCTACCAGCAATGCCCAGCTTTGCTCTCAGCATCATGTAATTTTTGAGATCCTTGCTTTGCTTCTATAAGCCTCAAGTTTCCAGCTGTTCAATGTGGATAAGACATACAGCCCACCTGTCTTGCAGATCTGCTCCTATTCATAAAGTTAAAGATAGATAACATATGTGAAAGTCTTGTGAACATTGTAAGAAGATATCTAAAATGGCAATTTCCCGACTTGTCATTTTCATAAATTATTTTAAAGGGTTGAGAAGAAAGAGTGTATCAGTCTTATGAAAACATGTGTCCAAAATCTGCACTTCTCAAAAAAAGTACATGACCATCAGGCATATGAAAAACCTTTCATCATCTGTGATCATTAGAGAAATGCAAATCACAATGACACTGAGATTCCATCTTACTCCAGAAAGAATGACTACCATCAACAACTCAAAAAACAGCAAATGCTGGCAAGGTTGTGGGGAAAATCCTTCTACATTGTTGGTGGGAATGTAATGTAGTAAAATCACTGTGGAAATCCATATGGAGACTTTCAAAAAACTAAAAACAGAAATTCCATTTGACTCAACTTCTTAGTATATTTCCAGAAAAATTAAAGGTATTATATTAAAATGATACATGTATCCCATAATAAAAGTACAACTGATGATAGCTAAATCTTGGAAGTGGCCTACATGCCAATCAGTGGATGAATGGAATAAGAAAATGTGGTACATATACACAGTGGAGTATTACTTGGCCATAAAAGAAGGATAAAGTTAAGTCATCTGTAGGACAATGTATGCATCTTGAGGTGATAGTGCTAAGTAAAATAAATTAGACACAGAAGGTTAAATATTGCATGCTGTATCTTATATGAGAATTCCAAAGTATTAATAATTTAAAGATCAAAATAAAAGATAGATGTAGGAAACAGGAACATAGGGAAAGGTATCTGGGATGGGGCAAGATGGGAAGGCAACAAGGAGAAGGGAAAGTAGTAAAAGGATGAAGATGTAATATGTATGTGTACCAGTTCCCCAAAGGTGAATGTATTTATTATATATTAAAATTATACACTTAAAAACCATATTTTCCTGAGATTTGGAGTGGTTGCAAAGTAGGAAACCTGTGGATCTTTGGGAAATGGGTAAAGACTGCATCCAGTTGGAAGCTGGACTATTTATTATGGCTCAATGTAATGGCTATAGTGAGAGCTTGAGAGTCAGATAATTTTGGCACTGGTCATGCCCTGCACTACCTGATCTTGACTGTATCTTTCCCTCTTCCTTTCCAGAGAAGATAGAGTTGCTTGGTGCTTAAGAAAGTGGTTTGCAGAATCAGACGCCAGAATTTGGTCCCTACTCTACCAGCTCCTCATGAGTAACCTCAAGCAAGTCATGCCACCTGTCTTGATCTCAGTTCCCCATTATAAAAATTAGAATAATAAATAGCAACTTTCTTTATCATCATCCTGACCAAAATGGAATGATCAAAGGATAGAGAGAATTATAATAAAGTAACTCTAGTAAAATATTAATGGTAAAAACTACCTGCTACCTGGTGACCATATGGGTATTCACTGAAATTCTTTCAACTTTTCACTTAAACATATATTTCCATGGTAAAATATTGGGTAATAAGAATAGGCAACAACAAAGTTGATGGAAAAGTAACATGAGATACAGAGCTCTTTGCACTGTTGACAACAAGAGGTTGGCATGCATCAGCACTGATTATTTTACTGTACGGGGAAGAGATGGGAAAAGATGATGGACTCCTCTAGTTCTTATAATTTGTGAGTCATGGCCAATTTCGGTGACCTGGAGACATGACATACATGAGCAGATGAGAAGCCAGATCCTATGACACAGAAACCAGAGGACAGAGAGGAGCCAGGATGAGTCAGAACACAGGAAATAAGCACAAAGGTAAGGCTCAGGACCCTGTGCAGGAAACACCTAACATGAGGAGACCTAGAAAACAAAATCAGATTGTCTTTACCACATGGCACATTAATGTGATTTTTTTTTCCATCAAACATCCCTTTGGGAGGAAAAAAAATACTGGGTTTGGAGTCAAACATAAGTTCAAATGCTGTCTTTGCCACATGAGGGTGATAGTAGAGGACATTTATTCAAGCGTCCACTAGACTACTTGTCATTGGGGAAATCTAAAATCATAAGGGTTAGTCCATGGCAGGTATGCTTTTACTGTAGCCTCATAGTCATAAATGATTGGGCCAATCTGATTCTTTTTCTTGTAAATTTTAATTAACTGGCACAGACTCTTAGGAAGGCGTCACATTAATGATGGCAACGGGGAAATGGTATGATCTCTGGGGGCGGGGATTTCAGAGATGATCCTGTCTCTATCCATCCTGGGCTCTGGTCATTAACTCTATAAGAAAAGCCCCATTATCTGTCCAATAAATTATGACTTTTGCTGAAGCAAGTCAGTGTTGGCTTTTATTATTTATAGTCAAAGATAAATTTAACAGTACAACAGCCTTCTAACATGAGTTGTTGTTGTTTGTTTGTTTGTTTAAGTTTGCGGCCCTTGGTTCCTTATCTGAAAATGAGAAAAACAATACTCTTGGGATTTAATAGACAAATCCAAGAAGACTAGGTATATAAAATTTCATGGTACATGGTAAGTATTTAATAAATATTATTTAAATTGAATTTAAGTTTCAAAATAGAGCTTTCTGAGTGAGTACTTGGAGGCACCTTGTTTGGACAAAGGAAGTGTAACCATGCAAAAAAAAAAAAAGACAAACAAAAACAGATTGTAATAATAAATGTACCAATAAAAGAATTTAAGCAAAAAAAAAAAAGAAGGGAGTGATGATGAGTTTAAAATTTAGTTTTAAAGGAAACTTTCTGATTGTGATTTCAAAACTTTAACACCTACCTGTGCTGTCTTAGTCATTTTCTTGTTGCTAAGACACAATACCCAACACCCACAACTTAAAGGAGAGAGGGTTGTTTGGGCTCATGTTTTATAAGTTTCAGTCTTTGCATGGTGGGTGGCATGGTGGAAAGGCCTGGACAGAGTAAAATTGCTCAACTCATATCAACCAGGAAGTAGAGAGCGAAAGAGCAACCTGGGAGAGACATACAGTACCAAGTCATTCTCCCAATGACTCCCCCACTCTTCCGACCAGGCCCCACCTCCTAACATCACATTTAGTTATAATTACCCTGTGATTCAATCATCCTTCACAAGCCTTGCCTTTGAGCACTCAAGGTTTTGAGGAGATATTCAGATATAAACTATAACAAATGTATACTTGAATTTTTGTTAGATTTCTCCATTGTGCCAATATTTTTGAAAGGAAAAAGGTACAAGACAACTGTACATGAAACAAAAGTTAGAGATATAGAGATATACACCTTTCTTCTTTTTAAAAAAACGCATGCATGTTTGGAGTACATAATGTTTACATTTATTTTAGGGAGTGGGTACATGTACTGAACATATCTTGATTCTTTTTATTCCCCTTCCCCTCCCCACTTTTCTTAACCTTATAGAGACTAATCAGAATTTATCTGATGCTAAACAAGTTATTAAAGGACTTTTGACTTTGAGTATCCTGTGAATAATGAGGAAATTCATCATGCAAATCAAGGTAGCAGTGGAGGTGGGTAAAGACAGAGAACATGACAAGAGCTAAGATCTGAATTAATCCAACCTAAAAGTACAGTTTCTAAGAAAACTAAAAGATCTGTCTAAAATTCAACATAGGAGGCAAAGTTTAGATTCTTAGTGAGAGATGTCAGCTCATCATTAGTAGTTACTGTTCTTTAAATCTTACTCCATTCCTTGATTATCATTCATCCAAATATTTACCTTAAAACAAGATATTGCTTCTCTGAAGGTCTCCGATAGCTAGACTTGAGCTTTATTTTTGTTATCTAGGTCTTAAACCCAGTGATTTTTCAAATAGTGGTCCCCAGATGAGTAGTATCAGGATCACCTGAAAATCAATTAGAAATGAAAATTCGCAGACCCCAATCTAGACACACACAATCAGAAGCTATGGGGGGTGGGTGCAGCCCAGCAATCTATGTTTTAATAGGCCCTACAGAGTATTCTGTGGCTCAATAGTTTGAGAGCCACTGTCCTAACCAAATCACAAGGCATTCAAAGTCATAGCTTTACCATTTCTTCCTTGGCAGCTAGCAAGCCTGTGGCTTTGTTGATCTACGTTCTTAAAGAAAATAGACAACCTTCTTAGGTTGGTCTTGGAATTTCAAGCTTGTTAGTGAATGTTAAAATAGTCACTCCTGTATGTGTGTGTGTGTGTGTGTGTGTGCGCGCGCACACACATTACTGGGAACTGAACCCAGGGCCTTCACACTGAGTCTCATTCCCACCCCACACCCCTTTTTTTGAGATAGGGTCTCGCTAAATTGCCCAGTCTGGGCTTGAATTTGCAATCTTCCTGCCTGGATTACAGGTGTACAACCAGGTAGTCTTTCTGATTCCAACTATATTTAAGGCCAACACTATCAATTAGCCTTTGCGATACCCATTTACATTTTATTTATATTTTCTTGAGTCAAAATATGTAGCCCTTTCTACTACCTTAAAAATAAATCAAGAGTATGCAAAATGGAAGAATCAAAGGGCAGAGCAAGAAGAATATGGAGAGAATTGGTAACTTTAATTTTGTTGAAAGAAGACATATCCAAAGTTTAGGGAGGATTCATGGCAAGATCCAGCTAATAGAAAAGGAAATATTCACTGTTGAATAAGATACTTCATCATCACTGTGCATTTCCCTGCCCTTTCATCACTGTGCATTTCCCCACCCATTCCTTCTTCCATTACCCAACCCTGCCCAACCCCTCTTTATAATGTTTTCCAGCTACTTCTAGATAAGAAAAAGAAGGCAACATTTTAAAGATGGAAAAAATTGCATTATTTCAACTGAATACAACTTACAACCTATAAGCTCTAGCTTCCTTCCTAAAGTTAGGCTCATTTCTACAATTGAGTTAGAGCATATTTAAGATCTTCTCCACACTTACACAAAGATCCCATTCATGCAAGGCAGTTTAGTGTGGAGGTTCAGATGATGGTCTCAAGAGTAAAACAACACTCAATACAATCCAAGTGCTACCACCCCACAACCGAGAGAACTTGGTCATATTATTTTACCTCTCTAAGTTTGAGTCACCGTATTTCTAAAATGAGAGTAATAGAAATTTCTCTCTCATAGGATTCTTAACAAAGATTAAATGAGATCATCCACATAAAGCATTTAGAACTGTGCCTGGCACACATCAAAGGCTGGATTAATGTGAGTTATTAAGATTATTATTATATTGCCTCTGAAATTCTTCTCAGCCTTCAGCAGCATCTTGAGTATTTCCAGGCATAGCAACAAGACAGCAAAACCCCAGAAGGGATAAAGGTAAATGTGGGAGGGAGGCTAATAGAAAGGGGGTGGAAAGACAGCAACACAGCAATTTTTTTGTAAGATGTTTCTGTATGAGACTTATGTTTGAATTACAACAGTGATTCTCAACAGTGCTAGGCGGAACTTGTCCCTCCCTGGGGACATTTAGCAATGCCTGAGACATGTTTGGTTGTCACCCAAGGACTACCATTGGCATCTAATGAATGCCAGGGATATTGCTAAACATCCTCTAATGCACACACAAAAAATGTCAGTGGTATTGAGGCGTGGCATATCTAGGGTTACTGGCACTTCATAGGAGGTGAGAATGGGAGATCTCCAAAAGTCCCTTAACTCTGTCTTCACCTATGCAGTTAGCCCTCAATCTCAGACTTGAATCAATTGTGCATTGCGTTTTTCCCTTTATCTCTCTATTGTCCGTTAAAGGCAAACTAGATTTGTTTAAAAGGATGGTTAAATATCAGAAGGTAAATATATGGGATTAAGTGAAAAGTTTCTTGCTAAAACAAAAGCATCAATAGCAATCAGAGAATTTCAGAGCTGAAAGAAACATTATAAATGTTCTACTGATTAGATTCTAGTTGAAACCCTTCATTACCTTTCACGGATAAAGAAACTAGAACTTAGCAAGACAAAGAGACTTCATCTAGGTCAAATAATGCTACAACCAACAAAAGGTCCAAATGGCTCCAAAGAACTGATTTAACTTCTTAGTTTGACAGTGATAATATCAGGATCGCTTCTTCACACACTTGTCTTGCATTTTTTTCAATGATTACATTCTTACCTCTAAAAATCCCTGAATATGGATCTCTGGGAACCAGTAGCAGCAATGGGAATAAAAATGGGAAAAAAGTAGATTCTAGAAGAATTAAGGGAAACAGATATAAGTTGCCTGTGGATTAAGCTACTAATGAAGGAAGAAGAGAAACAAAAGTTGATTTCAGTGCCTACCCTGGGGGAAAAAAATCAGAAGACAGCTTGGGGTAGCAAGTTGCTTATGATGATTTTCAGGTAAGTGTCTTTTAATCTGAAGTTGAAGGAAATGAGAGGAGGAACAGAAACAAGGGTCCAGGTGTACAAAGGTGAATGAAGACACATTTGATTAACTGGCTATGAGGCTACCTTGGGTCCTAGATGGAACAGAATGAAGAGTAAAATCCAGATAAATGGAAAGAACCACAGACACTCTTACCCTCGGGGCACTGGGGTCCCCTAGAGCATCTCCATCTGCTCAATACTAGCTGAACTAAACACTCCTGGTGGCCCTGCTAGCTTCACTGTGGTACAGTTTTCCTGGAGTTTAAATGATTGTCACTCTACAGTACAGTAATAATAAAGATACTTCCCAGAGGGGGAACGATGCAAACATAATAGGTAAGAAGAATGCATATAAGGAAAATAAGCGTAAGATTAAAATGACTTAAGAATGCTGCAAGGCATCTTTACTTTTCACTAATTTTTCTCCCACACATAGGTTTCCTAGATGGCAGTTGCTCCTCAGAACTCCGTGGGTCCGGTCCTCTGTCTGACTTTTTCCTTGTTTCTAGAGTACCACGTCCATCACCTGGGTCCTTTCTTTCCCAGACCGTACTCCGTGCTGCACTCAGCAACTTCTCCTTAGTCACTGATGCCCAAGTATCACTCAGGGAACGGCGCGAATGCCGCCCGGGCGACCCATAGCTTTGCGTCCCAGAGAATGCCTCCAGGTCACGCGAAGACAGAGAAGGCAGCTTGCATCATTATCACACCATCAAGAGCTACCTTTGATCCACACCAAATCTGAACCCTAAGAAGCTTTTTTTTTTTTACTTGTTTCCATGGGCCACGCGGGAAACCAAGCCGAGATGTTTCTCTTTACATTGAACTCTAGCAAGACGAGCTCATGCCATGACCTCACCTCTGACAGCCAGCGGCCCCCTCTATCAACAGCCACTTCTTCCAAAGGCAGCTAAGGGCACAGCGCAGCGGCGCACACCGCGTAGCGAGCCGCGGGGAGGAAGGCGGCTCAAATCGGGTGCGGGATTCCGAATGGCAGCTGCAGGGCGGTCGCCAGTCCTGCTGGCGACGGCGAGGGTTCACGCAGCGCCGCGTCCCCTCACGCGCACCGCCACTCACACAGCTCGAGACACACGTCTTGTCACACATACAGCTCATTCTTGCTGACACGTTCGGGAGAGTCCAGAGTCCACACACACGCATCTGGTCACACACACGGCCACGGATGCATAGAGCCCGTCTCCCTCTCCTCCTCTCCCACCCTCCACACACACGACCTCCCAGAGTCTGTGAGCGCGCACGCAGTTTCCCGAGTACTTACCCACAGGTGAAGGGCAGGGGCCCCAGACCCCCAGACCCACAGCGTCCCACGCTGGTGACGCGTCCTACACAGCCCGCCGGCCCATCCCTGCGGCAAAGCAGGTTCGAATCCGGCTCCGAGCCCCCACCCTGCGAGCCGCCCCGCCCCCTCGGCGTCCCCTCCGCACACTTGGGCTCGGTCCTGATCCCCAGTCCCCAGCGCGTATCGCACTTAACGCCTCCTGCGGAGCGGAGCGAGGAGCCGGGCAGGTAGGAGAAGCCCGGCTCTGAGGCCCCTACCGCCGCCGCCCGCCGCCGCCCGAGCCCCCGCCCCCCGCGCCCCCCCGCCGCCCCCTCGTGCCGCCTCCAGCCCCCGAGCATCAGCTCCAGACCCCGGACCCCAGCCCCCGCTCACCTGGGCGTGCAGCGCATCGTCCTCTTCCTGGCTGAGCCGGGCTCCCCGGGCTCCCCGGGCTCCAAGCCCCCAGCCCCGTGGTCCCCGCTGTCCTGCGCTCCCGCCCCCGCCAGGCGCCCAGGGCACAGCCTGGGCTGCAGGGCGCACGGGGGCTGGGTGCAGCGGCGGGCTGGAGACACCTCACATCTCCTGGCTGGCCTGCATGTGCCCTCCCTGGCCAGAGTGCTGCGCAGTTGCTGAAGTCAGGGTGCAAGCCCTGGCCTCACTGCAGGCTCTTGGGTCACCTTGGATAAGTTGGTTAACTTCTCTGAGTATCCACTTCCTCTATTCAGAGATAATAAACATGAAAGCATTGGAGATGTCCCTGCTAGGGGAAACTCTACTCCTCTAACTTCCTGCTCGTGCCTCTGACTGTGCTAGGGCAGTTAGTTGGGCGGCAGGGTTCAGAGTGAGCTACTGAGAAATTTGGCTAACCAGGTTCTCCAGAGGCAGTGTGCCCATTTGCCCGAAGTCTTCCTAACTGATCCTGCCCTTATTTCTTGGGCCACCTCTTGTTTCCCTGGTCGCACTTTAGGTGTTCTCCAGCTTGGACCACCTGTGACCTTGAGCACGTGATTAGACCAGAGTGGACTCCAGGCTTCCACCTGTAAAAGGGGAATGTCAGCCTCCAGTTGTGTTGGGGTTACTAGAGCTCTCATCTGGGTAACACCTGGACAGGTGCAGTGTCTGAGGAAAGGCAACTGAGTGAAAACACAGCTCCCCAAAGGCCAGATTCCAGGGGTAAAACAACCAAGAGTGAAACAAGGCATGTGGGGAGGGCAAGGGAGCGAGCACGGCCTCGTTTCCTGCAGATTATTGAGCTGCCAAATGGTCCTCCTGGGTGAATAATTCACCCTGCAAGGACCACTGAGGCTGTCTGGAAGCCTGACAGAACAGAGGCTGTGTGTAGCAGTTAACCTCCGACAGCACATAAACCTTCCAAGACAATCTTAAAAATTATTAACTTACAATTGTAAGCACAACTCAAGTGAACCAGAAACTTAAATTGGCCAACCATTCATGCCAGAAACCTCTGAGTTTGTCCTTTCCTCATTTTCTTTCTCTGTTGACATTTCTGTCCATTTCCCCTCTTTTTCCAGGCCCTGCCTGGCTTCCTCCCTGCATGTATCTCTCTCCCCCATTTTATTCCTATATTTTTTCTCTCTTCTGCACCTCTTGTTGTATGGCATCCTCTTCGCATCCTATGTCATCCTATGTCTTTACCTTCTTCATGACCCTCTCTTAACTTCTGGCACTCTTGGGTATTCTCACCTGTTATTTCTTACCTGGGTATGTATATGTCTTGAATATGTCTTCATCTTATAGTTGCTAGTCAAAGTTTAAAAGCAGAGAAGCTATAGGCTATTTCTTTAATGATAATAAAATCCAAACTTAAATTTACCACTACCCATTTCCCTAACCCAAACCCTTCTGATCAGTGATACCGTTTTCTTTATCATACCACAGGCATGGGTGCTGAGAGCCTGCGCTCTCCTTAATACTCCCACACCTGTTCTCCCCTCCTCATTTGCCACATGACCCATTGCCCCAAGCTGCTCTCTTATTCTCATCCATCTCTTTGTTCTTCAGTCCCACTGGGGCTTGTCATATTTTTTTCTGGAATCATCAGAGATCTTGTAACTGGGATCTTGCTCTCCAGCCATCCTCCTAACTGATGTCACCATAGTCTTCCTGTATAGGGACCCGATATTGTCACTCTCTTGCCCTATAACCTGAATCCCCCTGAAGGGTGGAATTGCTCCCCAAAAGTATCCATGTGCTAATCCTGAGAACCTGTGAATATGTTACCTTACTTGGCAAAAGGAACTTTGTAGATCAGAATAAATTAAGACTTGATCAGGACAGATTACCACGGATTATATGGATGGGTGGACCCTTATTAAAGGAGGAAAAGTGGAAGAGATGGGAAGCAAAGGTAGTCAGAATGATAGCACACAAGAAGAACTCGCCCAGGGCGGGGAGGGGAAAGGGACATAAAAAGAACTAAGATGTGTCCTGCGCATGTACCAGCTCCCTACCATGAGGGTAATCCTTACTTGCTGCAAACGTGGACTAATAAAAATTAAAAAGGCTGTACAAAGAGACCATGAGCCACAGATTGTTTTTGGAAGCTGGGGAAGGTGAGGAATCAGGTTCTTCTCTAAAGTCTCCAGACAGAAGTGTAACCACCGGACACGTTGATATCAAAGCAGTGAGAACCAGTAAGATATGTAATCTGTAGATCTGTGAGATAATAAATTTATATTGCTTTAAGCCACCAAGTAATTTGTTGCAGCAATAGTAGATAACACACACTCCATTTTACTCATGCAGTCACACACCAATGCCTTATCTTGTTATAGACAGCAATTAAGGCAGCTCAGATCAACCACTTTTCTTTTCCCAAACCTTGCATTTCAAGAGATCTGTTCCCTGAACAACTCTTTTCTCCTCTGTGTCAGTGTTCACCAGGATACTTCCGCCAGAATGTCCTCTCTAAATGAAGCCAACCCTATCATTTATCAATGCCCTTTGACTCCTTGGAGAGGTTTCTCTCTCCGCATTTTGGACCCCTAGGATCCTTTGTATTTCTCACGGTGTTTCTCATATTCCCACCTTAAACAATGCCTTCTAATGAGAGGGAAAGAAACAAGAGGACTTCACGTGTACAGACTGAAAATATTCCTGGCTCTCTGATCCCAAAACATTGTATGTCTACTTCTACTGTAGCAGTGACTAGTATACTGTTATTTGTGAGTTATTTATGAGTCTGCATGGCCCATCAGATTGTGAGGACATCAAGGATGAAGAACAGGTCTTACCTCCCTTTATGAGGGAGGGGTTGAGGTCTTTTCCTCAACCCCAACAACTATGCCAGGTACACAGTAGGGATTTTGTTAGTGTATTTTGCACAAATGGCTGAAGAAAGCAGGCGCAACATCTGGTTGGATTGAACAGACAGCTATTATTGCTGTATTTTCTTGCACCATTTCTTTGTATTTATCTGGGTGGATCAAAAATTGAAGGACCTTAGCTAATGCATGTGGTTTTACATGAGGCTGCTTCAGTGTAAACCTTTAAGCATAGACCTTTTTTGTTTTCTGTTGTTTTATTTTGTGTTTGCTCAAAAAGAGCTCCATGATGAAAGGGCTATTCTTTTAAAAACCTAATTTAAAGAGCTATTGTTATGAGTAAAACATTATAAACATGTAGATTCTTTGTCCCGACATTTCTACTTCTTAAAGTGTGTCATATGCAATATATTCAAGGATTAACCTAAGAGTGTTAACTGCAGAGTTATTTTTAAGAATGAATTACTGCAAGGAGTTCAAATGTCTCACAATAAGAGATTAACCATATAAATTATACCATCCCTCCTGTAGAAACCACTGAGGTACTAAACAGGACTTTGTCAACTGATATTTACTATATAGAATGATGATTATGAATATATTTACATTCTTTTTGTTTTTCTTAATTTTTAGATACCATACTATATATACATATATATATAGTGTGTATATATATAGTTGTATATAGTTAGTTTCAAAAATTTAAAAAACAGCTTTGCCTCCAAAAAGAGAGATATAAAAATTCCCTACTTATCAAAGCTCCAAGGAACTCCAATGAGACCCAGTTCTCAAGTTATGACCTAGGAAGAAAAAAGTCACCAAGGACTTGAACTGTACAAGTAATCTGGGCTGTCTTCATTCCACTGATTCATTCCCCCAAGGGACACTTATTGTACTATTTCAATTACGGCATTTGATAGCAAAACACAAAAACTCTAGCTTGTTTAACCAAATGGAAATTATTAGTCTGATGTTAGGGGCTCAGAGAGCTACTAAGATGCCAGAAGTCAGGCTTGGAAAAGTAGATGCCAGGACAGCTGCAGAGAACAAGAAAGCTGAGAGCGCAGCCACTGGTGCACAGACAAAGCAGCATCCACCTCTGTTCTCCAGTGGGTCACACACAGGAGTTCACATCCCTAGAGGAGACTCTGAAGGTCAGGCTTAGCTGTGTGTCTTACTCTTCCCTCATTCTGAATCAGAGGCTGAGGAGGGAGAGGACCTGGCAGATACACAATGGATATACCTTTCCCTGGCAAATTTGGGGTGCTTCAGGAAGGCAAATGGAACCTGGAAGCCTGAGAAAAATAAACACCCACTCTAAGGTGCCAGGCCTGGTGCCACACAGGCATCGTGGCCCAGCTCTCTGCCAGGGTTTTCTGGACAACTAGCTCCAGCCCAGAAATACCACTCAGGAGAGATGGAGTCCTTTGATTCTATTATTTCATTTAAAAATTTGAGCACGTTAAGATTTTGTAACACTAATTGGTTCTGGTATACAGACACAAATACTACTTTTCTGTTTTGGCTGTCCACACTGCTCAGCTGGTATAGATATCCTGCCCTGTACTTACTACACAGCAGCCTGCCAAACAGACTGAAGCATGTTATCAGCACCAGACTATGAGATTATGTGAATAATCTCAAAGCTTTATTTAAGCTTATTTTATTTAGGATGACTTAACTACAGAAGAGAGCTCTGGGTGTGTGTGTGTGTGTGTGTGTGTGTGTGTGTGTCCATATGTGTGGACAAGAAAAAAGGACAGAGAGAGGGAGGGAGCAAGTAGAGAACAAAGAGAAAGGAGAAAAGAAAATAGAAATTATATTTCAAATCCAAATTACTGAAACAAATCAGTGCTTCTTTTGAATGCACAGATTTGAAACCTACATACTTTCCATCCACTTAAGAGCTACTAAAAATGTAAACAGTTGGACAGAGTTTTAATGCAGCTGCAA